ACATCAGTAAAGTTGTAGTATACCATGAATTAATTATAAAGAAAAAACTGTATTTAAAATGCAATTGGTGGCAATTAAACAGGATTTGAGACAAAAAATTCATAGTTTTCATACAATGTATTAAGATCTAATAGAAAAACCAATCATTCCAAGCCTAAAAGAGGGAAGAAAATCATAAACATCACAGTGAAAGTCAATGAAATATATATAAAAAGGAAACAAAATAACTACTCAGGAGGCTATCAACAGAGGATTGTACTTCAAAGCCAGCCCAGTCAAGAAAGTCTGTATAACTTTCATTTTCAATTAACTATCAAAACAATTCTAGAGGTAGAGCTGTGGCTTAAGTAGTAGAGTGCTACTCTTGAGCACAAAAGCTCATGCAACAAGCACTCAGGCCATGAGTTCAAGTCTCAGGACTGGCCCAGAAACAAAACAAAACAACTAATGCTCTGAAAAGAATTAAGGAACATTGTTAAGCCTGTAGACTGATGCATTATTTAAAAAGATAATGCACTCATATTGTGAAAGTGAAAGTATATGAAAACTGAGTAAATGTGTGTTGATAGCTTAGTTAAGAAAAAGAGGAAATTCAAGAAATCCTAGCAAGACATAACTGCTAATGCCTAATCAGAAAGAGATAAACTGAAATGATAGACTTTTTAGTTGAGAATCTATATGTACCTAAAGACAGTTTTACTGAAAGAATTTTACCAAATAGCAAAATAATAATACCAATGCTTCATAAAGTCCTACTAGAAATCCAGAAAGGGAGATTGTTCCAAATTCAATCTAATACCTAAACACATACTCAATTACTTAAAAATTAAGTAACTCTTCCACATATATATGTGTAAATTTTGAGAAAAGTTAAGTAAGCTAGAAACTAACTTGAAGGGACTATTAATGGAAATGTAACAAATTTTACTTATTGGGACTTCAATATAAGAGAACCACAAAACATTACCCCTCCTAAACAGAGAAGAAAAAAATCCTCAGCAATGTTTTCCCTAAAATATTGAATCCATTAATAATAATAATAATAATAATAGTATCAAGAGATGGCCAATTGTGCATATCTGTGAAGTAAAAACACTTGGCTTAACATTTGAAAGCAATTAGTGTTATGGACAAAAATTGGTGAAACTATTTGCAAAACAGTTTTGTAGTGGGTGCTGGTGGCTCACACCTGTAATTCTAGCTTCTTGGGAGGCTGTTATCTGAGAATTATGATTCAAAGCTAGCCTAGGAAGGAAAGTCCTTTAAACACTTATCTTTAATTAATGAGATACAGAGCTGTGGTCCAAAGAGTAGCACTCTAGCCTTGAGTAAAAAAGCTAGTGAAGAGTGCCCAGTTCTATAGTTTAGACCCTCGTATTGATATACAAAAAGAAAAGAAAACATATTTAATATACTTGTCTATTTTATTTAATTATTTCTTTACATGATCTTATCCAAAAGATTAACAGCATAATCAATAGAAAGTCTTGCTCACAAATGTTTAGGGCTGTTTTGTTTGTGTACCTCTACATTTAAAATAGAACAAATGGTCAGGTGTATCAATATGCCAATAGCAGTACAGTGGCCCATGATCAACTACTCAACAGGGAGAGGAAATGAAGTATAGATGTGCATAGTCATATTGTTGCATATAAGTTACATATAGTTATATATTGTTACATATAGTTAGAGTATCCAGAAAGATTTAATGCATACTATATAATCCTATTACATAAAGTTCTGAAAGATAAAACTCTCTGTAGTGACAGAAAGCAGTCTGAGAATGGAGATAAGGAAAGAAAAAGTCCTCTATGTGCCACTATCTCATGGTATACATCTAGCTACTCAGGAGGATCAATGTAAGAAGCCTGTAGGATTGAAAGTGTGCTGTTACCCCCATGTCCAAAGAAATTAGCAAAAAGTAGGACTGAAGGCATGTCTGTTATTGCTATAAGGAACTTCTTACAGATTTGAATTTCAGCATTTTGTGTGTGTTAGTGCTGAAGTTCGAATTCAAGGCCTGGGCAATTTCCCTTAGCAGCTTTGCTCAAGGCTGGCACTTGGCCACTTGAACCACAGATCCACTTTTGGCCTTTTGGTAGTTAATTGGAGATTCAAGTCTCACAGACTTTCATACCAGGCTGGCTTTGAAAAATAATAATCAGATATCAGCCCCATGAGCTACAATTACAAACATGATCCATCCCTGGCTGGTTTGGAATTTAGCTTTTAAGTCTTAGGTTAACCTGAAACATATTTGTACCCATAATATCTTATCTCTTTTATATTATTGTCCTTAACTTTATATAAACCACATCATGTTTCTTCATATATGCTTAGTGTGAATAAGCATATATAAATATTTAAGAAATATACAAGAATGTAAGATATATAAAACTGTAAGAAATACATAAGAATATATAAGCAATATATAATATAATGATAAAGGTACATTTCCTTATGCTTGAAGAACTGATTCTGACCATTTTGCTAGATATTCATTGATTTCATTACTTTAACTTTGGAGGTCATTACTCACTTTTCCTCTGATGCCATTCCAGAAGTGGAATTTTATAGTTTCCTTTACTTTTTTTTTTTTTGTCAAACACATGCAGAGACAAGTCAAATTATACTTGTGTGTCTTCCAACCTTGTATCTAGATTCTTTTTTGTTTAATATGCTGGTCCAGGGCTTGAACTCAGGGCTTGAACACTCATCCTGGGCTTTTGTGCTCAAGGCTAGTACTCTATAATTTGTGACACAGCTTTTTTTCTGGCTTTTAGGTGATTAATTGGAGATAAGGGTCTCATGGACCTTTCCTACCTGGCTTTGAACCAAGTGAGATCTCAGCATATTAAGTAAGTAGGATAACAGGCATGAACCTCAGTGTTCACCTAGATTCATTCTTTTCTTTTCTTTTCTTTCTTTCTTTTTTTTTTTTTGGTCAGTTGTGGGGCTTGAACTCTGGGCCTAGGTGCTGTCTCTCAGCTCTTCAGCTCAAGGATCACGGGATCACATTCTACCACTTGAGCCACAGTATCACTTCTGTTTTTCTGGTGGTTAATTGAAGATAAGATTCTCACGGACTTTCCTCCCTGGGCTGGCTTTGAACCATGATCCTCAGATCTCAGCCTCCTGAGTAGCTAGGATTACAGGCATGAGCCACCTGTGCGAGCCACCAGCACCCGGTTTAGATTAATTCTTAAACAAATAGTGATCATTTTCATTATTTTTCAAGAATTCACAAATCCATAAATTTCTATATTTATATATCTGATTATAAATGAGCTGTACCTACAGATACCTGTTACAACTTCCCTCCCAGAGCTGATGCTTTTTCTATTTGGATTTTCTCTTTAATGGAATTTCTCCTATACTGTAGCCTCTATGAAATCTTTAAAGTGTAGTTTTCTGGGTGTTTTCTGCAACCCACCCTAACTAGAGTCCCCTGGGATAAAATGAGAGGCTTCTTCATACAGTAATGAGCTGAGAGCCTGTGCCACTGAAAACAAGGGTATCAAGTACAATTGTAGAAGAAGTAGAATGTGAGACAACCTAGAATGTGAAACAACCTATCTTATCAATCTCTGCATCTATTTAAAACATTAATTAGGTACTAGGATGAAGGCTCCACATTAGGAAAGATGCCCAGGGATTAAATGATGCACATTTAATTCCCCAAAGTTGAGCCTTCTCATGAGCATTGCAACTACACAGGGCTTTGTGTTAGAAATACTATTAATGACACAGTTTGTACATAACATACGCCATATTCCAAAGAACATGTGGAAAATTTAGAAATAGTAACAAAATTATGGCATGTGTTGAGAATTTACAATTTTATATAAATTTATAATTTAATAAACTTTTAAATATAATTGTCATTAAACAATTGTTTAAGATAAGGAATTAGAAATTTAAATTGAAAAGTAATTTGGCAAATTTGAGGACATTTAAAGTTTTTAACTATTGAACTTGATTGGAATTTATATACCATTCATAAATACCTACCTTATTTCATGTGATCTTTCACTCAGATTCACATTTATCTACTGACATAAGATGAGATCTTGCGTAGAGAGCTTCCCAGGTGTCCTTACAGATTTAAATTTTGCTTAACAGTTGCAAATCCAAGTTGATGTTAAACATAGTAAGTTTATAAATCTGATCCATCATAATTATTTTTCATCTTATACACTAATGTAGACTCATTTGAAATACTGCCAGCAAATTGTGAAAAACATTCCTTGATCTTTGAGGTCAGTTTACAATGTACCTTCCAAAAGTGATGATATGCTAAAGCCATCTTACTGAAACAGTAAAAATCCTCAACAAGGAAACAATAGTCTCTTGTTATGTGCTGGTTTAAGGTTCTAAGGAGAAACCATTGAGGAAAACCTACACATGCTCAGTATAAATAGAATCGATGCTGTGAATGCTGTGTATTCTCTATTAGTCATTTCCATAATGTTGCCCAACAACTGCTAAAAATATGTCACTAGTCAATTTATCTCAAATTTCCACTTTATAACTTCAATCATAAAAACCACTCTCACCTTGCTTTGGGGGTACCAATTGCTTTTGAGGAGACAGATTTTTAAAAAAGTAATGGTAGGGAAACACTCAGAATATCAAGTAAGGACTGAAACGTAAGTGACGATGATAGGAAGCTGAGAGTTTCTCCCTAATTGAGCTGTGTAATGGACGTGTGGAAATATCTTGATTTTTAAATTTCTTTACATGTTTTGTAACTGTATATGGTCCCAAACACATGTAATAAGATGGGTTTAACTATACAAATAAATGTAATTTATTTTACTGTCATTACAGATATTTATTAGATGTCCTCAAATGAATCTATAAATTAATATGTTCTCTTGAAGATAACAAATATCAACAATTAATTCTTCATTAAAATTAAATGGCACGGAAATTATGTTCAGTTAAAGATACTACTGAAGCAATATGTGATTCAGATGGCAAGTGTTACTTGATCTTACCTGCTGGTTTACAGGAAAGTTTCTGTTGATTTTTTTAATCTGCAATGATAAAGAAGTGAGAATAAGGCCCAGATTCTTATGAGATCTATTTAATGTGTTAATACATGCCACTTTAACCTATTGATATCATTCATTGCACAACACACACCAATTTTAATTGTCCCTCATAATTATACCAAATGTTATGTATAAACATTTGGAAAAAAGATTTCCATGTTTTCAATTTATAGGTGATCAAAGCCAACGTTTACATGGAAGTTAAATGCTTATCAGCCTAAACATAGAGAGCAACTTCATGATGTTTTTACTTCAAAATCTTATGATTTCAAAGGCTCATGATTTCCCCAGATTCAAGAGAACAGAGTAAATGAATTAACGAATCACTAAACAAATAGAAGATATATTTTCAAATACTTTCAGCTAGGATACTAAATTCAGAGTAACATTTACTTTAAAACAATTCAATGAATGACATTTCACAAGAATTTATAATGAAGCTTAGGAGGAAGCATCTTCTCTGCTGTTCACATGGAAACACACTTTACAAATCAAATGAAAATACACACCATGTTCCCATAAATGGCCCTTATATGACAGAGTGTCTGTTGAACATTGCTCTTACTGATTAAAACTAATCATTAGTTTTCAGTGAGTTTCTAGAGAAACTTAAAAATGCTAACCCTACATAATATAAAAACACCAGATTATACCCAAATTATTTTCAATGATAAACTGATGGTTGTTTTTGTTCTCTTTGTGTGTGGGAAGGGGGGGAAGTGCAATGAAGGCATGAGCCCAGGCCTTCTTCTTACCAGGCTTTCTTGTTCATGGCTGAAACTCTACACTTGAGCCACACATCAGCCCATATTTTACTGTTTGTTGGAGATGAAGTCAAGCAGACTTTTCTGCCCTCGTTGATTTGATCAGATCTTAGCATCCTGATTATCTAGGATTACAGATATAATTCATGAGAACTTGGCCCTATTTTTTTCCTTTGTCAGATTCCCTTTTGTCTTCATGATAAATGAGAATATAATTTAAAGTATAAACACACAAAGTAAATTTGAAAACACACCTATTTTATTTGAAGAAGGTTATCTTTTTTACACTGATAAAATAATTCCAACTATTTTTTTTCTTTGTTGCTGTGTTGGGGATTGTGCTGAGAATTCCTAAGATTCCTGGTTTCTAAAGTTAACCTGAGTACTTTGGAAATGTATATAAAAGGAGCTGATGGCCAACATCATGTATTAATAAGCAAAAAAAATCATATTGAAAATCCAAATGCTAGGGCTCATGCCTGTAATCCTAAATACTCAGGAGGCAGAGATTTAAGTATTCTGGTTTGTAGATAGTCCTGGCAAGAAAATCTGTGAGAGTCTTCCCTCCAATTAACAACCAAAAAATTGTGAGTGAAGCTGTGGCTCAAGTGACAAACCAGTAGCATTGAGTGAAGAAGTTCTGGGACAGAGCCCCAGACCCAAGAATCATACACACACACACACACACACACACACACACACACACACACACACACACAAGCACACACACATGTATGACCCAGCAATCCCACTCCTAGGAACTTACCCAAATAACAGCAAACAAGGCCACACTGAAGCTACCAACACAACCATGTTTATTGCAGTGTTAATTGCCATAGCAAAGATATAGAATCAACCCAGATGCCACTCAGTAGAGGAATGGATCAAGAATATGTGGTATGTGGGGCTGGGAAGGTGGCTCAGTGGTAGAATGCTTGCCTTGCATGCATGAGGCCCTGGGTTGGATTCCTCAGCACCACATAAGCAGAAAAATCTGGAAGTGGTGCTGTGGCTCAAGTGGTAGAGCACTATCCTTGAACTGAAAAGCTGAGAGATAGTGCCCAGGCCCAAGAGTTCAGGCATGACAAAAAAAAAAAAATATATGTGGTATGTATACACAATGGAATTCTATACTTCCATCAGAAAAAATGGCATTGCCCCATTCCTAAGGAAATGGAAAGACTTGGAAAAAATTTATGAACTCCGTTCTTCCACTTTATTTTATTATCATCAACTAACTTGTTCAAGAGGTTTCATTTTGATGTCCACATAAACATACCATGCACCTTGATCAGACAAAGCTCTTATTTATTTATTTTTTGTGCCAGTCTTGGGGTTTGACCTCAGAGCATGGGTGCTATCCCTAAGCTTGAGCCATGGCTCCACTTCAAGCTTTTTTGGTAGTTAAGTGGAGATCAGAGTCTCATGAAGATTCTTGCCTGGTATGGCTTTCAATTGTGATCCTCAGGTCTCAGCCTTCTGAGTAGCTAGGATTACAGGCATGAGCCACTAGTGTCTGGCTCTGAGTTCCTAATGTAGAAAATGCTAATGGCAAATTTTCTGAAAAGTACTTATTTGTCATCAGAACAACTAATATCAATAAAGCAGATTCTACTTAAGATCAAACAAAAAATCTATTAGTTCCCTTGTAATTTTATTTTTAAAATAAATTATTGCTCTTATGATGGTGATAGTGTTAAGTTAGTTACATAAACTATGAAATAATCAATAATATATGTTTAGCAACAAAATTCATTTTTAAAATAGTTTAAAAATTGTTACTGTTGGAAACAGAGCTATTTCTAAATAATGTAAATCCTAAATTCTCTGTATTATTCAAAGAAAAAAAGTAATAATTTTTCATTATTTTTCATGTTAAGCTTCTGAGAAGCCAACACAGTCTGCATGAGTTACAGTTTGAGTTCCAAGTAACTGAGAAAGACAAGTGATGTTGAGCAAAAGACAGTGTGGGAACATACATACTCCTAGATGGAAGAAGGCAGGACTTTAGTCCATACCATAAAGCAAGATGTTTAGAAACTTGTTGCTATGCTATTAATCCTCAGAATATACGAGCAGAAAATTACCTAGACTGAAATTCTGTACAAAAATTCCACAATGACAGCAAATGATAGAACCTACAAGCACATCAGCTGCAGTGAGGTAAGCAAAGCCCTGTACAACTATAGTCCTAAACAGAAGCTGTGTTCCTAAATTATGTATTCATATCTGGCTAATTTCATCACTGTGAGAGATTACTTCTCAGTGCAGTTCCAGGTCTTGATTATGCCTCTCTTCTATTCTTAGTTTACTATCTACAGTTATAGTAATTATCTTGACATTTCCATGGTCTGTTTAATGTAAATTATTTGAGGCCAGATCTTGAGATCCTCCTTAAATTTTGTTTTTTTTTTTTTTTTTTGGTGTGTGGCACACCCTTCCTCAATCCTATTCACATGATGCAAATGTGCACATGTCAAAGGATAATGCAAACATTTTGTACTTTTGGAGGGATGTTTCCTCAAATGTGAAGCCTTCCTTTGAAGGAACATTCCATATCAATTCTCTACCTACAATATAAACATAAATTAATTATATGTTGAACATACTGACTACAAAGTGATTCAAATTAAGAATGGAGTATTTGATGAATGTCTACATGAAGTGCAAAAAGACACACTTGTTTGCTAACTCAGGAAGTTCACCTAACTTAAGTATATATGTATATGAAGTATCCCAGAGTCTATATTTATAAGTAAAAAATAAAATACTGAAATCAGTTGGGAGGGAGGTGCAAGATATCCTAGGCTGGTGAATAATCTATTTTTAAGCAGTCCTATAGATTTAGGAGTTCTTGAAAATATTTGTAATATTGAAAATATTTCTTTCAAAGACAATCAGCCATCTGGCTTGTTTAAATTACAGACCCTTTTGCAAACTTGAGGCCATTCCCATAACTTCTGAGCAGAGAAACATGTGCCCCATCTTGCTTTCAGTTCCAGAATACAGGAACTTTGAAATTTGATGGAGACTTCCAGTTAAGAAGAAATGGATACCATGCTATCTGAAACAAATTCTCTGTTTTCTGCTTGTGTGTGGTAATGCAATGTACTCCGAACATTCCCTTAGAGAAGATGGCTACAGCAGAGAGGAGCTGAGAATGAGAGCCACATTTCTACAGCTAGAGAGCCTTCAGTGCCTGGAACTTTCCTTTTGAATTTCTTTACAAACATATGAATTGGTTTAGTGGCTCTTTTTTATTGGGAAAGATATCTCAAGATGCTACAACCTTCAGAAAAGAAAGAAAATCTAAGTGATGTTAATGTCTAATTTTGTAAATGAAATGTTTATACACAAGGTATACATTTTAAAAAGTAACTCAATTTTTAAATTGTTATTTTTAAAGCAAATATAAAAACAATTAACAATGTCTTTATTTTTTTCCTGAAGACTAGTGCTCTACCCCTTGAGCCACATTTCCAGTTCTAGTTTTTTGCTTCCTTTGGTGTTTAATTAGAGAAAAGAGTCTCACAGACTTTCCTACCTGGCTGGCTTAGAACTGAAATCCTCAGATCACAGATACTTAAGTTAGATAGGATTACAGGCATGAGCCATTGGTGTCAGACTCAACATATTTTTTTAATACTGACATATAGCCTAATGCATTAGATTACTTTTTTGCCATTTCAGGTTCGGCTTTTTTTTTTTTTGGTCGGTTGTGAGGCCTGAACTCTGGGCCTGGGTGCTGTCCCTCAGCTCTCCAACTCAAGGCTAGTGCTCTACCACTTGAGCCACAGCACCACTTCTGGTTTATTCTGCTTATGTGGTGCTGAGGAATAGAACCCAGGGCCTCATGCATACAAGGCAACCACTCTACTACCGAGACACCTTCTCAGCCCTGGAACCTCATTTTTAATTCAGATCCTTACACTTGGCTCTGCACATAATCTCCCACTTAAGCTTCAAACCCAGCCTTTACTTTTTGCCTTAGTTATTTGCCAGACAGGGTTTATTACTTTATTTTTAACCTGGAGCTGGCCTGAGACTGTAATCTCCTAGTTACATCTTCTTATATAGCTGAATTATCATGAATTTTGTTTGTTGAGATGGGGGGGGGGGTCTTACTAACTTTGCATTATACATACTGTATTAATTTCTTTTTTTTCTAGATTGGATTAGAACATTTTCTTCCAAATCAGAAGTTGTAGAACCTTAGGT